ATATTCCAGGCAGATATTCCAGGCAGATATTCGAAGCAGATTTTTCCAGGCAGATATTCCAGACAGATATTCCAGGCTAGTGTTCCAGATGTCTCCTTAATTTATGGTGGACGCCTCCTCCTCCTCCTCCTCGTCGTCAACCGCTGCTGTCTGAAGGGTAAACTTAATTTTTCTCCTCCTCTCTGTGATGCTTAATTACTGCCGGTGACACTTGCATCTTTGCCTCTAGTTAAGGCTCGTTCATCGCCGGGAGTCCGTAAGCCAACACGCACTCGTTTTCATGCATCGTTTGTCTGTCAGGAGGCGGAGGTGAAGAGGCTCGTGGTGGTCTCTCTCTCTCTTTCTCTCTTTCACCCATCCATTCTTCCCGCCCTCACCTTCATTTTCTTCCACCATCCCACACACACACCCACACCTCCCCAACACCCCCCCTTCCCCATCACCCCCCTCACCCTCCCTTCCCCATCACCACACCCCATCACCACCCCCCATCACCCTCCCTTCCTCCATCCCTCCCTTCCTCATCCCTTCCTCCTCACCAGCTTCACCTTGACCCTGGTACCCTGAGGATAACAACTCTTCCCTGCCTGGCGGCGTTACAGTCCTACGCTACATTAACTACAGTAAGGCAACGGTGCTCATCAAGGCTCCGAGGAGTTCATGATAATGCTGACTGCTGTAGTGAAACTGTTCGGAGCAGAAGTCGCAAAGTCGCAAAGTCGCCCCAAAGTCCATTCTCTAATTCTGCTGGCTTGGAAATATGATAATAATGACAACTAAATTGGGGATGAAGTAATCAGGTGGTGGTGTAATAACTGTGTGATGTTGGTTTATCCTCGCGCCCCCTCTCTCTGTTTCCAGGACGATAACCAAATTGGTATTGTTTTGAGTGTCTTAAGGTGTGGGTCGTTTTCTTTCTTCCTTCGTGTCTTCCTTCCTTCATTCCTTCCTTCGTTTCTTTCTTCCTTTGTTTTCATTTCTTTTCACCCTCCCTCCACTCCCTCCCTCCTCCTCCTCCCTCCCTCCCTCCTCCCTCCCTCCTCCCTCCCTCTCTCTCCTCTCTTCTCGCGTGTCATTAGCTTGTGTTGGGTCCTATACAAAACAATGAGGCTTACTTCCTCTATAATGACGCTATATAATATACCCTCATTATATACCGTATTCCGTATGTATATTATAGGTCTTCGTCGCACTGGTGTCAGAGGTATATAGTGTCAATCTTGTCTTAGTGTAGTGAAGATGTTTGGATATATACCTTGTGAGTTAACAGGATTTTTTTAGGTATTTAATCTTCCAAACATTTATAGCTTAGGTTAAGTTAGGTTAAGCTATGTTGTATTAGGTTAAGCTAGGTTGTGTTAGGTTAAATTAGGTTGTGTTTGGTTAAGCTTGGTTGTGTTAAATTAAGCTAGGTTAGGTTAGCATTAGGGTAGGTAATCTTAAGGTGAAATAATCTAGGGGTACTAATCTTCAGGTGACTCATGAGATACCCAACAGGTGAGATGAGGGGCTGTGAAGAAATCAATTAGTTGATTGTGAAGGCCTTTGTTCTCTCTCTATTGTTCTCATCAACACCTGACGACTGTAGTGAGATTGAGGGAGGGGTGAGGCATTAGACCACACTATCTCCCACCTACGGATAGAACATTTATCATAATTCACTGTTTTATATCTTTATTTATCCCGTATACCTTAGTTCAATAACGTTTATGTGTTATTTAACTTGTTTTTAGAATAATTTTTGTATTTTATCTTTCTTATAATTGAAAAAAGTTAATATATTGTAATTTATTGATTAGATATGTTTTTTTATATCTGTGGTCCCTTGGGGTAAGATTTCAGTGATCTTAATTGATTATTTTCCTCGTGTATTTATTTTTTATTCGTTTTCTCTCTTGAAATAATGGGTAGAATGGACTAAATAAACCCATCCTTCACTTGTTGACTCCTTATAGGTGTTTGTAGGGTCTTGTGTTGTCGTTTGTGTTTTTTTTGTTTGTTTGTGAATGCGTCAGGTGTTGCAGATGGTGGAGGGAAGGTGTTGTCGTGGCCTACTGTAAGAGCCAGCGCCTTTAACTGTGTACTGGCGAGTCACGTCACAAAACCATTACCCAAACACTCTGGCCCCTGACATCTTAAATCAACGAAACTTACTTTTTTTACGCCTGAGAATATAACACCATTACATTAAGCAGTAATATATTTTGTAATTTTTTTTTTTTACGGAGATCAGTCCACCAGCACAGGTCACTGGCTCACATCGGGGCCTGGGGGGCGAAAATGTAATAATAATTCAGTAAATAAAATTTACAATTAAAATTTTTTTATAATAAATTAATAATAATAATAATAAAAAATAAAGAACAAAACAAAATGAGGAACAATACAATATATGTATGTTGTGTTGTCAATAGTAAGGGAAACAATTGAGACCCTGCAATTGTGTGTAAATGAGGCAGAAAGTCAGATCAGCAACCTGGGACTGGGTCACAATTTTGATGCCATATGGCAGCAGGGTCTACCATTAGACAACACATTATGCTTCCAATATTTTCCCAGGCGGTAGTACCTCCCTGTAATATATTTATCTATGGGCTAATAAATTCCACAAAAACTCGATTCACCTGAAGACTAGGCATCCTAGCTTATTTCACCTGATGATTAAACACCCTAATATTAGTCTAACTTAATCTAACCTCTCCCAGTTAAGACTAGGGTACTGTAATTAATCAACAGGTGAGATACGATTAGGAAGATGGTCTTAAGATAATCTAAAAATTTATCTGCATAAGAGTTGACCATCGTTCCCAACCCATGTGACTATTTATCTTCTGTGTGAATGTTTGATAATCCAAAATACTGTTCGTAGCGTAAAATAACAGAAAGAATATCAATCCATTCTCTGGGGGCTGGGTAGAAGGTTATAGTTGGAGTGTTTGTGTGGGGTGGGAGTAGGGAAGGGGGCGATACTGTTCGTCTTGAGCTGAGAGTACAGTACATTGAGTTTGTGATTGCCTCGATTTTTTTGGGTCTCTCTCCTGCTCCCCTTGCTCTCTCTCCTGGGGTAGACTTTGTTAGTTATTATGGCATTTAGGAAATATTAAAACCATTACCCTTCAGTGGTGTGTGCTGCCTTCACGTTCGATATACAGTACAGAAGTTCACTCTCCCATCATGTTAGCATCCTCTCCAATACAATACACAAAATCCTTTCCAGTACTTAGGTGTAGTGTAATGGGGGATGGAAAACTATTACATTAACCTCACCTAACATACTTTACCCCTCAGGACAAGACCATTACCACATTGTAAAGTTAACTGTCAACTTTGTGATCTGGTCCTGACCCAACGTTATTGATACTCTTTTCATATAAACTGGAGGAGGTAGTCGGTGAGTGTAATGAGGGCGATAGAGGCCGTCCATAGAACTTGGTGTAAAATAAAGAGGGAGGAAGCTTTATCGAATATTAATTGGGGATATGCAGACTTGGGGGGAGGGGGGAACTGCTGCAGACTGATAGTATGGATGGAGGGCAAAAATGGATTGAAGGGGGTGAAATAATAGCTAGGGAAGAGGAAGAGATAGACAATGAGTGAAGAAGGAAAATTGAATAATGAGTAAGATAGATATGGGATGATAATGCATTAGAAGTGATAAATGATAGATGATTAAGAACATGTAAATATTGGAGTACGTATGTGATAGAGAAAATTAGAGAGTGAAACAATGACTAGAAAGACCATGTAGAAGAGATACTTAGAGCATAACAAATAAATCCCAAAGAAGAAAGAGTGAAGGATGATCAGGGAAGAAAATGAAGAAACACAGAAGATACAGAAGATTAATAAACAAGACAAACTAAAAAAAACATAAGTAAAAAAAAACTGTGAGAAGAAGGAATGTTTACACAATTATACAAATAAGTGAAAAATGAATTAAAGTGTGTGTGTGTGTGTGTGTGTGTGTGTGTGCAAGTTCTCAGTAAATCTTCAAGTCTTCAATTACCCTCTTCACTGCCATCTGTTAAAAGTAATGGGATTTGACTTTTATCAAAATCATCATTAACTGTACCTAGTTTCTGGAAAAATCCGTCTGTCCTTGGCCACTGACACAAGGGAAATGAACATAACATCGTGTGTGACTTGGTACCGTGATACACTGGGATCTGTTTGTGGCCGTGATAAAACAGGACGACTCATCATATGTAAACAAATAGGAATTGTTATCGTTAATGTTAAAGTTACTGATTCACTTTGTATACTGTACTGTGTCTGTTGGTTAAGGATAGGGGGTTAGTGTGGTGTTTTGCTAGTAGGTGTATAAGGAGGGAGCAAGTGTTAGGAGTCTTGGGTCACAGTAAGCACTAGATGTACACAGAGAGCTCACACTAGATGCACACAGAGAGCTCACACTAGATGTACACAGAGAGCTCACACTAAACATGCAGTACATTGTGAAAGCAAGATGTCAGGAATTGATATACTCAGGTGAATTGTGGTGCAATACCCATGGTACTTAACAAGCCTGGTAAAGTTTCAGTGTAATTATTGGTTTAAATTTGTTTCAACAACTTTATAATGTATATACAGAGCTGTATTCTACTGTACAGTGTACCTGCTTATATTATGCAGTACCCCAAAATAAGGGAATTATATTAGTCCACCTCAAGTCATCTCGTTTAAGTGACCAGTAAACAAATGTAAAATGAGATTTTCAGTTCTTAATTGCTGCAATGTCCTCAGTGCTCTCCTTTCCAAATTCTCTCAGCTTACAAGAAACATCCCAATTCCTCAAACCTCAGCATACAAGTCACATAATTGCCTCACATATCTTGAAATACATTTTTTCTGTCACAGTTTACCTTTGTGTACTATATCGTTAATTTTTTCTCCCACATTTACGTTGTTCCATAACTGCTTCAGCAGCAAGATAGTACAGTCTGTGCTGAAAGATATATATAACGACTGCTTGGTTAAGAGGTATGAGTAAAAATCTTTTGTCAACTTACATATTTATTAAAATAAATATTTCAAAGGTAAATTGTTTCAACATAATGCGCCCAATTACTGCTCTTTTATGTTTAATGGTGATTGACGGTGAGCGTGTAAAGGTATTTACAAGAAACTCTAAGGGTTTCGGCAACTCATGTTTGTGACAAAAATATCAGTCCGGAAACTGATTACTGTACCTGTATGTAAGAAAACTATACTTGGTAACTGAAAATATGACATACAGTAGGTACTTTAAAATATAAATACTGTAATTATATACAGTATATGTTTTTTCCTTTTGACATCCCATTATAAAAAGAAAGAATAGTTCTCAGGAACATTATCCCCTGGATTCCTACCAGTACATTGATTGACTCATGGACCCCATCAGGTGGCTCACAGGTCACTAGGTCAAGTTCCTATTCGGTCATCTTTTAAAGCTGGCATCTAAGAACGAACTTTCCTTACAATTCACCAAACAAGTCATAAAATAACAGTTGTTGAAACAATGATACAAGAATGATGCCTAATATCCATTAATATAGAATACATAATTGTTTTTGTTTTTTGTTTTTCAGTTCAATTCCCACTATAGTGGTGGGTGGCCAGAACACACACTCGTACACTCCACTCATCATCCACTCGCTACTAACGCTCCTATAAACAACTAGACAACATACATTTACTAAGGGTGCCACAAAAAAAATCTATAACTTCATAAGTAATGAAAATAAATTGCACAATTCTCACGAAAAATCAAATTTATTTACTCGGTAGATAATAGTTAGAGGTGGATATTACTGTGATAAAGTTGTACGGTATTAAGTAAAGTATACTAGTAAAGTACTTAAGGGGGAGAGACATAATCAGCTTTAATATTATCAAACTAAACTTTGTTCTTGCTGTGCTAGTCACTGTCAGACCCTGAGCCTGATTTACCTCCACTCTCACTGCCAGTCCTACTCTTGCTACTACTTCTGCTCCTGCTTCTACTCCTGCTCTTACTCCTACTGGCACTCCTGCTTCGACTCCTGCTCTTACTCCGACTGGCACTCCTGCTTCGACTCCCACTCTTGCTCCTACTGGCACTCCTACTCTTGCTCCTACTGCGACTCCTACTCTTACTCCTACTACGGCTCCTACTCTTGCTGGCACTCCTCCTGGTGCTCTGCCTACTACTACCACGTTCGGTGCCGCTATGTTCACTGCCACTGTCGTCCTTGACACTGTCGTCCTTGTCACTGTCACTTCCACTACCAGTATCATCAGAGTCCCTGAGTGTGTGTTTGGCTCTTTCCAACCTCTTCGCCTTATCTGTTTCAATGTCTGACTCTTCCTCATCAGATGAATAGATTGGAGCACGTTCTGTAATTAATAAAGAGAGAGAGAGAGAGAGTTACCGACACATTTCTCTATTCCAGACACTTTTTGCACCATACTAAATCCAATATTAAAATCAATGAGGCAGTACAATTTTTTGTTTTCCATTAGTTTAAACGAATAGAGTAAGATCCAGTGATGTGTATTAGGCATGAGAGCGTACAAGGCACAGTTTATTCACAGGCAAGGAGAGTCTAGCATGGATCTCACTCCCATACAGTATCTCATTACCTCTAAGAACAAGCTCAGTATCATACCTTTAAAGTTCCCTAGCCATTAATCTATATAGTATTGAAATCACATGAGTCTTCTATCAATAAACATCCATAAGTTCAAATCCAAAGGGTAACATGATAGTTTTCCCAATCCTCTCGGTGAATATTTCGTATCTAAATAATTCTACACAGCTAAATTATTACAAGTACAGCAATATGTAAAAAAAAAATAAATAAACAGTCATGTAATCTGATCTTTCTTCTGCATTTGGGATGTTAATGTCAAATGTCTCCTTTTTAAAAATGAAGATCCCACTTGAAATGTATAGACTAACACTGTTCATTTTAAAACTTAAGACTTTTTTTTAGTTAATACGTAAGAGCTCACATCTGTAAATTCTATTATGTTCTTCTATAAAATCTGATCAATTATTATACAGTACAGTATTATAAAAGACTTTTATTTTGCTTTCCTTCAGTCATCAACACTTTCCGTTTCCCCCAAGATCATGAAAAATTTACCAAGATTGTTACCGTTTAACCTTCAGATAAAACAAGATGAAATGTATTGAGATTAAATTAAATATTTACATAAGCTGTTCTTTTTATCAGTAAACTTTCCAGTAATGTACACTATAACTCTTGAGATTAAATATATTAAGTAGTTATCAGAAACCAGTAATGGCTACTGATGACATACGCCGAGTCTGTAAAGGAGAAAAAATACTCGCCATTTTGCTTCTTCTTAAACTTGTTCTTGATGGCAGCCAGGGATATCCCGCCTTCATCATCGTCCTCGTAGTTGTCCGGCTCGAGATAGTTGGCCGACAGGCCACGATTCGAGGCCTTTTCTCTCACTCGCTTCTGCTTGTTCTCACGCCTCATGGAAGCTCTTAGCCTATCCTCGTCTCTCTGAAATAGCAAAAAGAATTAAAATATACGATTCACATCCATTACTTTTGGTTTAGAGATATATACTGATAAATCCAAGACCTGAAACATCTACTCAAATTACTCAACATCGGTGTATTGAAACAATTTGCAAACATATCTATTTTTTTTTTTTACATTTTATTGGTAGATGAAGTTGACAAAGTTTGTTACTATCACCCGGTGTCAAAACAGCTGTGTCACTGATACTTAAATGAGGTGAGAAAGGAATATCAAGAGCCAATTTTTTTATCAAAGTTCTCCGGTACAAAAAGGATAAATTACGTACTCTTAAACTCTCAACACGAGCGCTCTCTGGATCACGGATGACATTTGATAACACTTTAACCCCGCTAGTTTTCTGTGAGCGGTCAGCGAGGGAGAGCGTCATCTTACGATGGGTAAATGAGTCGGTTGAGTGTGGACGGAAGGTCAGCTTTGTACGAAACACTGCTTGACCCTGCAGACCAGTTCCTTGACGAATGAAGAGATGGTTGTGGTCGCCCTGAAACAAAGACAATCTGAATTATGAACAAACTACAGTATCTCTCAATCATCTCATTATTACTTACCCAAATGATGTATCATTTCTCACATAACCTGCACTTATATATTCATCATCATCATCACCACTATCACCAATTCTTGCAGAAAACAATGAATAACATTATATATATATGACACTTCCTAACAACCAGATCCCTAATATAACTAGCAAACCATTATTTACTTTTAGGCATTTCTTACAACCTTTTCTTCACACATAGATCAGACTGGATAGGATAGGATCAAAAGCAACACCAACTCTCCCTTATTCTCTACTGTTCAATATTCCAAGTTGCTTCCCATAGGAAACAACTTACTGATTTTCACTGAGCTGATAACATACTTTACAGTAATAATGCCCCCCCCCCTCCTACACACTTATACTAACCTGCAGGGGTTGTTCATATACATCAAAGATTTCATTGCCAAGGTGAAGGGACATGGAGCCATCAGACCACCGCACCAACTTGGAATTACTCTCCTTTACCGCATTCCCCTCCTTGTCAAACACAGTCCTCCATCTCATTGTATTTTCAACCTTCAACTTCAACCTGTAGAAAATCAATGAAATTTATCGGTATTTATCAACTTATAACCAAAATCTCAAACCAACATTCCATACATCTGTTCATTCTCTTATGATCCTATGTCTATAAATATATGAGCCTGCTATACATATGAAATACTTTGTTTTATATGTCACGTAACCATGGTGGAGGAGCACTGCTATTTATGGTTGTATAACTTGACAGAACTTGTGGTCTAAGAAGTTCAAATGATGTGGCTTCACCTTAAAACTGAAGGCCATAATACAGTACATCCGGTATAAGGTTCGAGGTAGTCAATTCCCGGTAGATAAAAATATAGGGTCTTTATGTCTCAACGTGACTGAAATTTTCAAAATTTTGGTCACTCCAGGGAAGTCCGGATAGGTCACAGATGACATTGAGCACACATTCTTTAGCTCCTTCAACTACAGGGACCCACCTTTTGATATCTTATTTGGCTAATACAAGAATTTTATTCAACTCAAAGGGGGACCCACACACAAGGGATTAAGTAGCCTCATTTTACGCACGAGATAAAAATAACGGAAAGATTAAATGCAATCTATAGTCTAACAATTCAGGGACCTCACCTTGCCCGACCTTCTTCATCCAGTGTTTCCTCCTCATCAATTTCATCTTCATACAGCTCTGGGTCAAATGGTCTGGTCTCAACAGAGAGGAAGTTAGGTAGCTTAACAAAGTGTATGTCCCTGCCTAAGTCCGTGTTAATTTTAGGAATCTCCGCCTCAATTCTGGTCTCTGGTGGAGGCCCCTCATCTTCTTTGTCCTCATCCTGCAAATCATTATAATGCCATTAATTTCTAAGCCATTACAATATACCACAACAAAGGCCAAGATGAAAACCCGGAAAGACTATTATGGAAAGCCGGAATGTTTAAAATATTAAGTAACGGCATTATTATGTTTGATAAAGAGCCTATGGACAAACCCCAAGTGCTATCAATATTTATGAAATTGCTAAAAGTTACAGTCTGATACATATAAAAGAAAAAGATCCATATTTCAAAGAAGTTTACAAATTAATAGACTTCATTAGTACAATGGCGACATGATCAAAATGGCTGACAAATAAATAGTTTAAAATATCATAGTTTTTGTTTATTAGAGATGACGCTAATACTTTAAATCATTTGCATTTTCTTACATCGGGCACTATTAGCCTCGGAGATCCTTGACGCGAGCGAGATCGAGACCGAGACCTCGAGCGAGAGCGAGAACGAGACCTGGAACGCGAACGTGAGCGAGAGCGCGATCGTCGACGCTCGCTATCATTCCGCTTGTCTTGTTCGTCGTCACTGATGTCGTCGGCATCACCAAACAGGTCTTCTGCATTAACATCTACAACAGAAAATAATAATTATATCCCCATGTTTCTTTACCACCATGACTATTGAAAGCCTTTTCCTGCTTGTGTTGTGAGGTGGCCAGAATCAGCCAATCACTCTCATTTCTACCATAATGTTGCTATTTTATATAAATTCCAGTGACTACTGAAGCTATAACAAACAGTATAGTCATAATTCCTATATATAATACAAGTACTCTCTACATAATGTGTCCCTTGTAAATCAGTTACCCTCACCATCCATGTTTTCGTCGTCTGATCTGGCTCTCTTTGGGGCGTCGTCGTTTGAATCATCGCTCATCGTCACGTGTTTACGTTTCCTGAAAGAAAAACGCTTGATGTAACTCTAAGAAACGAAAAAATTAACAAAAACACTGAAGTAATGAATGACTTTCTTGTTTGGGGATAAAAATAAATAAACATATACTGCTGAGAGATGTCCACTTTAGAAGACAAAATCACACATCTGACCCCTGTCCTGACCTTGAAATGTGGGGTCACCAATAAAAACATCTGTCCTCCAAACACGCTAAGGAAAGCTAGATTAAACATAACATCATTTGTCTGTAGGAAAAAAGCCACAAAGCCAATTAAATAAAAATAGTACACCACTGCCACCTGTCCTCAACACCCATAACTACTTACACCTATTGACAATTACTCGAGACACTGAATTAATTAGACACCGGCGGAAAATATCATCTCACTACGCACCTTCCAACTTCCACATCACTGTCCTCGTCCGACTGCTTCCTTGCGTCACTGCCACCTGTAATGAATTCATAGATCAATAAAACATAATACTACTTAACACAGCCTATACCAATGACTCACTAAGCTGGCAGGACACACGAGGGGTTACAAAGGTTGAGGAGAATAAGAAATAGAAAAAATCAGATATAGGTAGGGATAGAAGAAAGGGTATGACAGAGAGGTACCTAGGGTTAACCAGAAAAGGCATGGACACACTTAAGAGGATAGGAAGTGATAGGTAGAATAGAAAGGAAGGGACGGGGAGACAGAGGTGATGCGGTAAACTAGTTACTAATACATAGGGATGAACAATAAGAATGCAGTAGAGAGCACGTGTAGTAATAATATCCTGGTGATGCATGGTGTGTCAAATTGTAGTGGCAAGTGGTGTTTCAAATCGTGGTGTCAGGCAGTGTTTCAAATTGTGATGTCAAGTAATGTCAAATCATGGTGTCGAGGGGTCAGTGAGAGGATGAGAAGTAAAAGGAGAGCCTCATTTAGGTCCTGGTTCCAACTGCCCAACCTCAGCAGAAAATGGCTCGTAATGAAATCTCTCTCATTACACATGTCTAAGATTCATGCAACTTAAGAATTCTTTTTATTTCCAGTGGTCAGAACACAGAGTAAATACTGTGTAGACTCTTTTGGTTCTGCTCATCCTGTAATAAAATAATCAAAATATAATTCTTGATGAGGTCGTCTTACATAACATAAAATATAGAGATGTGAATGAAAAAAAAATGTCCTCCACAAATCCAAAACCGAAGAAAAATTATAAACACAAGCTAAATCTTACCAAACACAGAAAATTCAAACAAAAAATCTATGGATGTATATGACAAAGCCTAAACTCATCTATTTTAACCAAAGCAGGTATTTATTACCTTTCTTGGCTTCATTATCGCTGCCTAGAGGTGATCTTGATCGTGACCGAGACCCAGACTTTCTGCTCCCCATTGGTGACCTCTTCCCTTGACTACCTTCTGGAGATGCCCTACTGGCACCCCGAGATAATGCTGGACTCCTGCTGCCTCTCCTCGAGTCAGGTGATTTGGTTCCTCTAGAGGGATCGGGCGACCTTGGAGACCTGCTCCCGGTCCTTGATCTGATGGGTGACCTGCTGCCAGTTCTTGATCTTGGTGGGGATGCAGCAGGAGATCTACTGCCTCTCCTGGAATCTTGTGGTGTCCTACTTCTACCTCTGGAATCAGCAGGTGATCTGCTCCCAGCTCTTGAACCCAGAGGTGTTGCGCTGTCCATCTTAGACCTAGAGGGTGACCTGCTACCTCTTCGAGACATTACAGGAGTAAGACTACCAGCTGTTGATCCAAGCGGTGTTCTACTAGCAGGGGATCCAGACCTACTTCTTTGTGGGGTCATTGATCTGTCTCTCAGTGGAGTGATGGATCTGTCTCTCCGTGGAGTGATGGATCTGTCTCTCCGTGGAGTGATGGATCTGCTCCTTTGTGGAGTAACAGATCTGCTTCTCAGTGGAGTAATGGATCTGCTCCTGGGATGTGAGCCAGACACACTCATCTGGCTTCTTGGTGAACCACTCCTACTACGCTGACTGCCTGTTGGTGATCTGCTGTGGTGACTGCCTGTTGGTGATCTGCTGTGGTGACTGCCTGTTGGTGATCTGCTGTGGTGACTGCCTGTTGGTGATCTGCTGTGGTGACTGCCTGTTGGTGATCTGCTTCGGTGACTGCCTGTTGGGGATCTGCTGCGGTGACTGCCTGTTGGGGATCTGCTGCGGTGACTACCTGTTGGGGATCTGCTGTGCTGACTGCCTGTTGGGGATCTGCTGCGATGACTAACAGTTGGGGATCTGCTGCGGTGACTGCCTGTTGGAGATCTGCTGTGCTGACTGCCTGTTGGGGATCTGCTGCGGTGACTGATAGTTGGGGATCTGCTGTGCTGACTGCCTGCTGGAGACCTACTCCGTTGGCTGCTTCTTGGGGATCTGCTGCCATGACTACGTGGTGATTCACTTCCCCGGCTCTGAGGACTGCCAGGGGGAGAATAATTTACCTTACTCTGTGGTGATCCACTTCCCCTACTTCTTGGACTACCACTGATAGACCTACTCGCTCGGCTCCTTACTGGGGTCTGGCTCCCGCTACGATACCTTCCCCTGTTGCTGCCAGCCGGGGATGGGGAGCGATTACCTGAAATATCATAAGGTCTTTGGCTTTGCTTCTAAACTTATAATACCAGTACATCACAGAGAAACTTGAACAATGATTATATCAATCTACAAATCTGTAGATACCAATCTCTGGTACTTGAGGATTCTAACTACAGTATTAATTTTGCATACCTGTATACTAGCAGGTTCATAAAGTTCCCTTCAATTTCACACAATTATTCTTAATTAAAAAAATAGAGATATAATTTGGGGAGCTTTATCTTGAAATCCCACTGTAAGATCACCGATGACGACTCACCTACCGGAGACCTGCTCCCAGCCCTGCTACTTGCCCGGCTGCTGCTGCTAGAGCCCGAGCTGCTCTCCGAGTCAGAGTTGTCTGATGACTCCAACACATCATCTGCAGGTCATAAATTAAATGTTATATACACTACACAAGGAATCATCTTTAATCATTATAACACAAAATAAAAAAGAACCAACTAATAAGATTTACATGAGCTAACGGTGGTTGTTAGGCAGTGACGTTAACCGATCCTTAACAGTCTTGGGGTACTTTTGAGTTAAGTTAGGTAGGTTTGGCTGTTTCATTTTATCTGTTTTAGTGCTTCAATATTCATTCAGGTTCTTATATACTGTATAATACTACAATACCTACCATCTATCAGCAAGTCAGTCACCTTCATTTAAAAATTAGACTACAGTAGTGTATGACTGTATGAAGTCATTTTAGACCCTGATTTGTAATTGCAACTTAATTACTTTCATTTTCCTTAGTTTTTATTGAGAGTAAAAAATGGTCCGTCCACACACACAGTAATAAAGTGAAAGTTACAATTTATTTATTTCCCATATTAAAATAATTTTCTTCTACATTAACTTTTTTCTAAGGTTGCTTCTCACGAGTTGGTCTTCAAAGTCTTAACATTCTTTTCATGTATTTCTTCCCTATAGGCATTTAAAAACACCTAAAATAATCTTCCCTGCCTCTTGATAGTGACAATAAGATCACTAGGACAACATTTTTTAATCATATCCAGTTTAAAATCATTACCTTACATTAAATACACATATACATCAGTCAGGTTAATCTACATCATCAGTAGTTATTGCAGGAGTCCTTATACTAAAATATAATATAATATTTACGTTGATTAGATTACCTTTAGTCTCTTGAGAATCTCCGACAAGCTTGTGGGTGATCGCCATGTTTGTTTGCGTCTGGTGTCCTTTGATCACATCCTCGAGGGTGCCGGCCGGCCTCTCTACCTACACCTCACGCAGTCCCGTTTCCCTCACATCTACCACACGACGCACTATGTTACTGATTTACCGCGAACAGTACATCTAAATGTTATATTGTATTTCACTCTCCAAAATAGATAATAATGCTTTAAACTGATTCATAATAATTGGAATATTATATTTTAATTTTAAATTTTGCATATAAAAGTTTTTTAATATTTATTCTGAAAAAATTAATTGCGAAAGTTTTTATGTTTATAGTATAATTTTAACATTAATCAACATAAGCCATTTAACTTGTGTTTACAAGTTTAAAAACATCTGCTTTGTTGTGGATGTAAATACTTCTCGTGGTTTGTTTATATTACTGTTTAAGACCGTTGCTTTTCTGCTGTTGTTCTTCGTTTTGTTTTTAGATGGGTTGGGTATATGTAAAGAAGTACCGCAAATTATTTAATCATATATTGTTACTATCAATCGAATGTAATATTTTGAAGGAACACTTTCGATTAATTCGAGCGGATGCTGTTGAAGGTTTTCGCCTTGTCTGATTAAATACCGAGTTATTAGCACTGTGCCCGTCAACCTACAGTACTTTAAGATCTGATATTGACACAACTTTCCTGCTAATATTTCTTACTTAAATGCCTTATTTACCAAATGACAATGCAACCAAAGGTGATCATGATAAGGGAATGAGGTCAGTGGTATGTATCAGATTTTAATGATCTTGGGCATTGCAGTGTTTCAACGAGGCAATGATATTTGTTTTAGTACACAAGACGACCTTAATAATCCTGCAACTCTCTTTTGTAGAAATTTTGTAGGACACTACTTTACATTAGATAATATACACTACACTACACTACACTACACTACACTACAGAGGTGAACAAACCCTTAACCATCGGATCATTCGTCGAGTTTCAGCATCGGCGGTGACTGAGTGAGTTCATTAGTTGTGGTATTACTGACACAATACAGAGAGGTGGTGGAAATCCAGTCTAGTCTAAATAAGCTGCAATGCTAAATGGCGGGATCACGTGAAGATTAACTTGCCCAGCTTATTTTACTTTAAAGATTAAACTTCCAAGCTTACTTCACCTTAACATTAACCAACTTAACTCTAACCTAACCTAACCTATCCTTAACTCTAACCTAACCTAACCTAACCTAACCTAACCTAGCCCAACCTAACCTAACACAGCCTAAATAACGCAACACAACACAAACCACCCTAACCTAACCCTCCCAAATAGCATGAAGGTGTTTAATTACCATACGAAATAATCAGAAGGAGGACCTAACCTTCACATGATCTAAGTGACATCCTACAAGGGAGTGTCTTAGAACCTCTCCTGAACTCTGATACCCACTAATAACTTTTGACCTGAACGTTTGTCTGTACCCACTTGGCTATCGATACAAAAGACATACCGTTGTATTGACCCCTAACCAAGACCAAATTCAGCTTCAAATGGTTGTAAGCGACCTCCCCAAAATGGCTAGATGGCTAGACACATGTTTACTCCTCTGCTTTCACTAAGACAAATGTAGAGTGATAGTCGGTTTAATACCCAGGGCGGAGGAACAGGTGAAGGCAAGACCCGGGACCACTGTGGATGATAGAAAAAAGGAAGGTTGATTAAGGTAGAGACAATGGACATGTATGTATGTATGTATGTATGTATGTATGTATGTATGTATGTATGTAGTTAGTATCCTGATCAGCAAGTACAAGATGAGAGTTCGTGCAGGTGCAGTGAGGACTCTCTCTCTCTCTCTCTCTCTCTCTCTCTCTCTCTCTCTCTCTCTCTCTCTCTCTCTCTCTCTCTCTTTTTCTCTGTCTCAATCTTTCTGTTATTATCCTCGTATTGTTTAAGTCGTATTTTATCCAGAATATTTGTGTGTGTGTGTGTGTGTGTGTGTGTGTTGAGCTATAAACTAGAGATGTAAATAGCTCCGGTGTGTTTTATTATACGCGTCAGTACAGAGGTTAATTGGAAGGAGAAACTTAAAAAGAATGGAAACTGTTTTGTAGGTGTTGAGATGCAATGGAATTAGTGAAGCAATGGCAGTAGTATTTCCTAACACCCAGACGTTGTTAGACAAAATAAATACATAAACAAATATATAAATAAATACATGAATAAATAAATAAATGAATAAATAAATAGACTCAATAATCATAATTCCCCTCAGTTGGCTTTGTTAACTACCAAAGTCAATTATAAATTAAATCGAATCATTGAACTTTAAAGATTAAAAGGTAATTATTGCCTACAGCCATCGTTAAAGAGAAAAATGATTAGAAAATTATAATACGAAGGTAAATGTCACTTCATATCACATCTACCTCTGATATATATATATAAGGTGTCTCGTGTATAAAAACTTTAATGAACTCGGTGACGAAAACTTTCAGGAGGAGAATTCGTATTTGAGAATTATTTTTCTCGTGGTCAGTAAACAGGAGATGAGGAGGTTCTGGGGGGGGGGGTCAGTCTAGGTGGTGCACAACACATGAATAAGGTCTCTAATGCCGGGGCAGGTGAGCTTTGCCCACCTGCAACGAGGATATAATTGATACCGTGTACCTGAGTCGCCCCGCCGAGCACCAATGAATGGACTTCTCATATAAGGCTCGGCCACTCCTCTCCTCTCACACAACAACGATGCCATTACCCACATTTTCTCCTTGTTTTTATTCGTTCCTCAAAATATGATCTACACACACCGTTTCATTTCCAGTTTCTTGAATAATACCTTGGGCTTGTAACCTGGGTGGATTTTGTTTATAATAGTTGACGTAATGTGGTAAAAAAAAAAACTAGATAGAAAAAGTGTCGTTGGTATCTGTTTAGCAATGAATGGAGGGCTTGGCTCTACCATACAGATCAAGGTTTTAAGACGTGTCATACATCAAGGGTATTTCGTTGTGCCGGTCGCTGTGTGTGGACGCTCGTGTACGCATACATTTGTCTGGGGATTGGCTAGTCTGCGAGGCGCTTTGATGCCAAATTAGGAACAGAATTGGCCGTGGCGAGTAGATGGCTCGGAGGATAGGTTGAGATTATGATCGTGTAGCGGCGGGAGTGGCGGGAAAGACGGCCAGTCATAAAGTCCTGGGTGTTGTTGTTGTAGTGGAGGGAACAGCGTCTTTGTCTTGTAGAGGTCGCAGTCACACGCTATTTTGAGATAATGAGAAATTCCTCGGACGTGATCTCAGAGGTTTAAGAGTTATTTAGGAAAAATGTTCATGTAAATGTGATTCTAGTTTTGGTGTGATGTAACCCAAGTCGAGACCCCCCCCCACCACCACCCCACCCCCAACCCCCCCAAAAAAAATATTGACTAGAAATAAACAAATAACCCCCCTTCCCCCGCTCATACCAGACACCATAACACAACAATGAAAATATTGTTCATTCACACCAGACACTCCAACTACACCATACCCAAACCAGGACATTGTAAATCGGACATCATATTTCTTCAGTGTCCAGTGGGAGAACTAAATGTCCTCCTTGACTTGAGAGATAAAATGTGTAGTAAGTTGTGTTGTAATACCTATACCAGAGATTATGTTAATATGAAGTAAACAAACTGTCTAAATCCTCCCAGGGGCATAAATTTCAACGTAACTCATCAAATCAATAAAATTTATCCCTTGTCTGGAAAAAAAAAATATGAAAAAAAAGTCCCAAAGATTTTACAAAGTTTAATAAGGTGAACTAATTTAAACGTCCATAAACAATAGACGAGGTTAATATTTGGCGATGATGTTGTTGGAGGTCAGTGGGAGGTCCTGGAGGCTGAGGTCATAGGTCATGTTTCATAAGATACAACAGGTTACTCGGCTTATAATCAGAATCCTGTGTGGAAATCTGAAATGGGATTATAATTTTGCATTTGAACCAACATCTCTTGATTGTCGTGCCGGTGTGTGTGTGTGTGTGTTAAGAGAGAGCTACATCTACTGCAGGAGGGGCGGTAGTAGTAGCATCTTTCTGACCCTGGCACGTGTCTGCTTCTGTGTGTTGACATTCTCTTGTTCGTTACTCCTCCTCCAGGTGTCGCTGTTGGGGGTCGATCATGTCATGTTTTCAGGTTCGTTTTGTGAGTGGCTCTGTGACTGTTTCATGACCTACTGGTACGACATTTATCGATCTGTAAATAGCTTTGGTATAGTCTACACACACCCACACCCACCCACACACACACACACACACACACACACACACACACACGGGAGGTAATAACTATAAGAGTCACTCAGGCGGAACACGAAGCGCTGCGGGAACTTTAAAGAAACTCGTTTTCATATCTTCATCGTCCTCCTCAGAGATGCTCAATTTGAACATGTAAATAATCACACGGGATCTTAGTAAAGCCCCAAGCGCTCATCACCTGATATTTTACCCATTTTCTCACCTCTGACTAATTCCTCTACCCTATTCTACCCCTGAGAGAGAGAGAGAGAGAGAGAGAGAGAGATGGGAGTTGCATATTCATTCCTCTCTCTCTCTCTCTCTCTCTCTCTCTCTCTCTCTCTCTCTCTCTCTCTCAGGACTCAGCCAGCCTCACCCTCAATCAATAAACCAAGATGCTGTCCAGTTCAACCATTATTTTTTTTCTTTTCTATAACTGAAACCATTTCCCTCGGCGTGGTTCATGGTGTGTGTGTGTGTGTGTGTGTGTGTGTGTGTGTACGTGTACGAGGCCCCGAGGTGTGACTTTTATACCTGTGACGCACCTGTCCATAACACTAATTGCCTTACAACAAGCTTCCCGGAGCTGAGCCTGAAGAAGGTGACGTTAAGTCCTTCTCAGACAGCTCCTCCCCAACAACCCACAGTTAGTGACCACCCTGGCAGACTACATACACACACACACACACACACACACACACACACACATACACACACACACACACACATACACACACACACACACACACACACACACACACACACACACACACACACACACACACACATACCCCTGACCTTTTCTTCGTCCTTACTGACTGAAGCTCTTGCAAGGG